TAGTCCCGAAACCCCCCGCAACACCAACCCGTTCTGACCCCAGCCAACGCCAGTTCCGCTGGCACCAGGAAACGTGTGTGAACGTGAGTTCACAGAATCACTGAATGGAAAGGACCTCGACAGATCATCCAGTCCAATCCCCCTGCCGGAGCAGGAACCTAAATGAGATCACACAGGAAGGTGTCCAGGCGGGTCTTGAATGTCTCCAGAGAAGGAGACTCCACAACCTCCCTGGGCAGCCTGTTCCAGGGCTCTGTCACCCTCACTGTAAAGAAGTTCCTTCTCAAGTTTAAGTGGAACCTCCTGTGTTCCAGCTCACACCCATTGCCCCTTGTCCTACCATTGGGCATCACTGAGAAGAGCCTGGCTCCATCCTCATGACATTCTCCCTTTACCCATTTATAAACATTAATTAGGTCTCCCCTCAGTCTCCTCTTCTCCAAGCTAAAGAGACCCAGCTCCCTCAGCCTTTCCTCACAAGGGAGATGCTCCACTCCCTTAATCATCTTCGTGGCTCTGTGCTGGACTCTCTCAAGCAGTTCCCTGTCCTTCTTGAACTGTGGGGCCCAGAACTGGACACAATATTCCAGATGTGGCCTCACCAGGGCAGAGTAGAGGGGGAGGAGAACCTCCCTTGACCTACTAACCACACCCCTTCCAATACACCCCAGGATGCCATTGGCCTTCCCGGCCACGAGGGCACAGTGCTGGCTCATGGTCATCCTGCTGTCCACCAGGACTCCCAGATCCCTGGGAGTTCGGTTCTACCCCTCTTCTCAAAAGCGCTGTGCAGAAAGTAATAAATCAAGTAATTAATCAGATTTTTGCCCTGAGTATAACGCAGTGAGAAGTGGAAAAACCCTTCGGCAGGATGAAACACGAAATGGGTTACACGTGCAGCAGAGCAAATATAAATCAACAGTAAAATCTTTCCCATCATCAGCAAATAGTCCTCTGTAAAAAGCAAACACAACTATACATAAGTCTGCTGAATGTTTGTTAATTCAATAGTGTAATATATTCTCTTAATGTAAATGTATTCTGCATTATTCGCTTCAGTAATGCTAGCGGAATCTAAACAAGGAATTTAATATAGATGTCACCAAATGTGGAATTAAAAAAAATTAATTGCAAAAACCTTAATTACTATCACCCTGGGTGCTTTTAACTTTGCAAGTAAAAAGATACCGTATCCATTCTAGACCACAATATAGGCACAGCACACTTCCCTTGCCTCTGCACACCTATGTATGTCATTTCTCACCCGTGTTGCATCTCCGTCCTGCTTTATCATATCCATTCCAGGCAGCTGGTTTGGAAAAAGATTGCCTCCCCTCATAGCAGGATCATTAACCTATTGATAACAAGATATTAAGGAGAATCAATTAAAAAATACGTTGGGGAAGAGGGCTGGGAAATAAAAAGCAGCATTACAAACCACTATGCTACTTGCATACACCAACATCCACTTTTGAGATGATGTTGCAATCAGGGAAGTGACTATATAGCTGAGCACCCTTCTTGTGCAGCATGTGTTTGACTCATATTATTCTGCTTCACAGTCAACAACAAAGATTTCATTCCTGATACTATGACCCTTGTGCATATTTTACAAAACAGGCTCCATAAATTAGGTCAGTATTACTTGAAGAGGACATGCCTGCTATGAGAGTCCTGAAAGCAGAAATGCGTTAACTGCATTCCTAACCTCAATAACACACAGCTTTTCTGCTTGCAAACCACCACACAATTTTTTCAAAGCCTGATGAGATAACATGTAGGCTAAACTAAGTACTGACTATTGACTTAGTTTTAATGACACTTACTTTTCTGCTTGTAAGCAGTGGGAGAAAGACAGAATTAAACAGGAAAACTTGCAGCTACATGCTTTCCTAAAGGGATGGTCTCAACAATTTTCTGAACATAGCCACGGGAAAGTATTGAAGCTGTGTATTTCTACACAACCAAAGGGTCTGCCATGCTTAGTTATGTGGTTAAGAGTGGCTTTCCAAATTTACAGCATTGCTTTCCTAATCAAGGGATAAATCTCACTGTGTAGGAACTGGTATAAAATACAAAACAGCCCTTCAGCAAGGTTCTGAAATATTAGAAAAAATCCAGCCTTTCTTAGAAGTTTTACAGGGGAAGAAACCTCTTCCTAGGGAGACTTTATTGACTTGGTCCTCTCTGTTACTTCCCTCAGACTAGATGGATGTGATAACAGTGAAGATATGCCCCTCCAGATTTTGCTGGAAGGAAAAAGATGTTTTCTGAGTCACCTGCCCTTTAGGAGACTCGTGTTGCCAAGGAGAGGAGATTCTGCCACTGGACTGCCTCACTTCAGCTACAGCAACCTGCTGCAGCAAGGGGGGAAGGCTGTCTTGAATTTACCACACCAAAACATTCTCGTTTCAGGTCCTCCTGACTGTTGTTTCTGTCACCATTCACTGATTTTGCAAAACGTCGCAAAGCGAACTGCAATCACATGCAACCACCTAAAGAGGGAGGTGGTTTCAAATGCTGCCAGAGACAAGACTACAGTTTGGTAGGGAAGGTGAAAAATTTAAAATACTTTTGCCATAAGAATTTAAATTCTGAAGAAATTGATCATTTCAGTGTTGCAAGCCTCCTAGCGATGCTTTCTGCTTCTTAACACAAAAGGGCAGATTTTTAAACCTGAACATGAAAATTTAAACCAGAGGGGAAGAGAACAACACTATTTTGCTCAGAAAGAAAGAAAGCAGACAGCTTTGTGGCTTTATCTACACACATTTGACTAGGCAAAAGAATCCATGTTTGAAAAGTGTTTTCTGCTATTGATCACAATTCATCAGAATGCACAGGCACAAATGCCTTTTCTGTTTGTTCAGTAGACAAAGGAAGGAAAAAATAAAAAGCAGAAAGAAAAACAATTGTATACAGCAGTTTTGGAACAAAAAGATGACTGCATGATTTGCATGACAGAAGTCAGGACAGGTATGGAAAAGGAAGATGGTTCCAGGCTGCAGGCCACAAAAGCAGCAAAGGCATCAGTGAAGTTCCTATCCCAGAATCTCTTTGCCAGTGACAATGCAAGAATCCTGACTGGAATGCTATCAGATACAAAAATAATCTACTGTTTTGTTATATGAATACATTTGCTTCATAAGTCTTTGAAACAAAACACTCCATATTCACACATTAACTTTTCTGACTGCAGTAACAATTCAATCATAAAAGTATGGAGAAGGATAAGGAAATGGAAGGGGTTTTAGCATTTTTTTAAGACAGGTCAAGTGGTGTTATCAGATATGCAATCTGACTAACACGACAAGATGTTTTACAATTTCTTTGCAATTAAGCACATAACACAGCCTCCTCCTAATAAAGCAGAATTATATACAAGATGTCTATGCTGAACAAAATCAAAATACTGTTTCAGGATGACTCTTTGTAGATACCATGATAATTTTGGCTTGGGGATTACTGCACCTGTGCAAATTAATAAACATCTACTCTGAGTGGAGATCTAGATAGGGGCTTATTTCATATACTGAAAAGCCTATTCTCTTGCATAGGTTTCAAACTGCTTCTCCAATAGCTTAGCAAATTATGTGGATCCATGATGCAAAACAAATAACAGGCAAAAACATGGCAACAATTCATTGTGGAAACAAGAAGATGACAATGAGGAGACAGTAGTTTGCGTGAATGGTGCAGCACTGGGAAGGTTTAGACTTTCTCGATGCCTAGGGAAGCTCTTTTGGACAGATGGAACCTGCAGACCTGGCAGCTAGCATTTCAGCATTCCTGATACCAGCCTCCTAAGAAGACACACCAGTAAGAGCAGCCTGAAGAGCTTTAATGCAATAATAAGGGAGAAGATAATGAGACAAGGTCTGATCCCTCAAGAACACAGAAGAGTCTCTCAGCATCATAAATAGCAAACCCATTTTGGGCATAATCTTCATTTTTCACTTGGTGATGCTGGGAGCCTAGGCAGTAAACAAGAGAAGTTGGAGATACACCAGTATGAGCAGATAAAACACCAAACTCGGTATTTCTGAGCTCTGGATATGTCTGTATGATACAGGACAGTGCCACAAAGAGAGACAGGAGACGGAGCCAAGCAAACCCGTTTGGTACCAGAAGTTTGATACCTGCTTCTCACCGGGTAAACAAACCCAGGCACAGCTTTTTACTGACAGATAATATACTGTAATAATATTACTTCCAAAACCAGAAGTTTTTTTCAAAAGCAGGAACACATTTCTAACGTAACCACTGTTATTCACTGTGGTTAGAAAGAGATTATCATGTGAAGTTAAAATTATGTATTATGGAATAAAAAAAAGTCAAAAAATAAGTAAGTAAAAGTGGAGGTGACAGTATAAAAAAAGGCAAAAGAATGAATGAAATGTCAACAGTCAGCAGAATTAAAGGAAGTATAATCAATTTGAAAAACACCAGTTACAAGAAGTTTAGCATAGCCTAGGTCAATGGCAAAATAAAGATGCCAAGTTGTAAAAACACCATGCCCTGAACACAGGAAAAAAAATAAAAGAACCAATTTTAGTATTAATATAAACATTTTTATTTATTCCTGTCTCCCAGAAAAGAAAATGTGAGGCAGCACAGCAAACATTCCTGAGGGCTAAAAAGTATGGTCTTGTGGCCCAGAAATGGCCCCTCAGCTGCCAGTTGGCAACCTCTGACCTAGATGAAACATAAAACATTTGCTTGCAGAGTCTGCAGATGACACAGTGCTGGTTGGTAAATCAGGAGGAAAACAGGTTACTGTTACAGAATGAGCCACAGCACTTAAGGAAGGCAAGACATTTGGGAACAAGGAATGTAGGTTTCATCTATGTAGAACATGCTGAGGAAGATTTGGGGATCATTGTAAGGGTTTTAGTATGTGCTCTCGAGTGCGCCATTGTCACCAACAGAGTCAAAGTAACCCATGGATTGAAAGAGAAATCACAAACAGAACTTGACTTTACACAGCTTTGGTGCTGTCACTGTTAACTGACCATCTCTGGTTACCCTGTTCATACTCCTAGAAGGAGGTTACAACAACGGAGTTTAAAAGTAGATCCACAAAAGGGACTGACGGGCTGAAAAACAAATGTTGAGATGGATAAAGTACCTCAGCTTATTCAGCTTAGTGGAAGTTAGATAAAGACTATATCGAAACAAGATCTTGTGGTCTAACAGGAAGAAAAGCAGTGTGACAACTGTGCCAGCAGAAACAGCAGTCTGCATGGAAATCTCTGAAAAAAAACCAGATCTCTTTCTATAACGCATGTTTCTCAGTTCAGGTTCCTGGGGAAAAATATGTAGCATGGGCATGCTGAGAAATCAGACTGGGCTGTCACCTTCAAATCCCCACTCTTTTCTTTTTTGGTTTTACTACTGTTTTACTACATTGAACGTGTGCAACAGTATGCACTTGGGAACTAATGATAATAAGAAAATTCTGCTATAGTTGGGTGTAGCAACTGGGAATATCAGAGAAGGTGACAGATTTGGGAGTATCAAAATTACTTCAGGTCACCACTATGCAGCAGCTGTAAAAGACAAATGTGATCTGGGGCTATATCTGTCAGAGTATTCCAAGAGAAACGAGGAAGAACTAGTGTTATGCATATGGCTCTGGTGCTTGGGAAACACTGATTCAACTGGAACAGGTGCAGAAAAGGAAAGGGAATTTAAAGCTTACAAGAAGAGACTGAAACACTGTGGCTTGTTTAACTTACAAGAAAAACCCCAAGAAATCCAAACGAAAACAATCCAACAATCTCAAAACAACAAAAAAATAATGTTGATTGAACATCTCTCTAAAATACCAGAAGAGGAAAGAGCTATTTAAGCTAAAGGACAATATTGCAGAAGTAAATACTCTCTTATCAGATTTAGGCTGGAAAAAGGACATACTTTAACAAGCCAATAATATAACCAGCTTTAAGCTGGAACATTATGGTCTCAGAAAAAAGGTTTATAATATTGTCCATCATAGCAGGAGATGCTGCCTGAAGACACAAGAGGTACTTTCCTGCCAATATTTCTAAGTCCATAATTTCAAGTCTGTGTTCTGAACAAACAGGAGTTCAGCTCTCAAACAAACATATGAACCTGTTAATTAAGAGAACTTGTTTGTCAAATACTTATTAATGTACTGCGTGAGTTTAACTGCAGACCGACAAATGGAAATGTTATTTTCCTTATTTCAGATACCCTAAGTAGCACTCTCAAATAAAATTGAGTGTGCAAACCTGCTCTCAGCAGAAAAGAACAAGTTACTTACCTATTGATTCAGAAAACCTATTTTACATGCACCACATTACAAAAAGTGTGGATTTTGTGCTCGTGAAGGTGCCAGATTGATAACTGTTGAAGCTCACTGCCTATTGTCTGGTGCAACAAACACAGTGGCAGCAGAAGCATCTTCCACGCACTGCCCATGCCAGCCTCTTTTATCTCTAGGAAACAGCTGCCTGCCATTCACTCCTAGCCTCTACTGCTGAGCAAACTAGTAAGGATGCTGGTGACCTGCAACTGTGCTATGGAAACTTACCTACTGAGAACAGGAGGCTAGATCAGCACGCACTTTCCACGAAGTCCAGAAGCAACTACATGTGCTAGCTACAGTGGCGCTAGGTCAAAATGGGAAATTTAGATGCAAAAGGTGCTCTCTACCTCCTCGGTCACCTTGGTTATCTGAGTGCAGAGCTAAAAACAAAGCCTCTTTAACATCATCATTTCTCAAGAAAACTAGTAAAAGACATGTAATGGCTTACAGCAGTTACAGCCTAACGCAGAGGACCTGAAAAACTACTGAAATTCAAAGCAAATCCTCTAGCTGTTATCTCGCATCCTTAAATTCTCACCTGCTCAGGACCCATGGAGGACAACCCTGATGTAGGCACAGAGGTCGCTGAGGTCATGCTGATCTGCCCTGTCATCTGGTTCATGTTGTTCATACCACTTGTGTTGGTTGCCATGGATACACTGATGTTCATGTTATTATTGTACATGCTGGTGCTTGCTTGCTGCCCAAAATGTGGTGGGGACTGTTGTGAAAACATGCTACAGCAAGGAATGGAAAAAGCAATGTGTCAGACTTAGAATGCTGAAGCCACTAAGAAACTACTCTCTTTTTAATATATCTCAAGGCAGAATTTGTATATACTGTCATTTGTTCCAACTTCAAAAGAAAAACTAGTTTTCGGCTACAATAATGTCTAAGGAATAGATTTTCAAAATTTAAGGTCCCATGACTGTGCACAAAAATGCATGCCTTCGCGTGTGAAACTATGGCAGAGCACAAATCTGTTATGTGTGTGCAATAACAGCCAATCAGCTTTCTAAATGGGCTTCGTATGTATTTAAATGTAATTTTGGGAAAGTAATTTTGGGAGAGAAAGGAAAACACTTTTCTCCCTCCAGTGTTAGCACAGCACAGGACTGTTGAGCTTAAATTGGATCTGGTCTAATAAGCTTTCTCTTTGCAAAAGAGGCTATTTGCACATATGAATACCAGATTTGCACATACAATTATGGCAAGTGGGCTCACAAATATAGACATGCAATTGTGCAGAAATTTATTTACTAAATCTTAGCATTCAGGTTTTGAAAAAGTGGCACTGTAAGAAAAAACATAAAGTCTAAGTCAATTACTCTCTATGTTCCTTTAAGGCCATTTCAGAACAACTTAAGGAAGAGTAACTGTGGAAGATCTCACCCCAGATTTTATTCAAAGTCAAGTGCTATCCAGAGATAGTATCTTCCTTCCCATTATGCCAGAAGTCATATAGGAGACTTTTTTACATTTCCTAAAATGCACTTCACTATCTTCATATCAGTCTCTTCTATTCTTTGTGCATAATCCAACAGTCAATGAAGGAATTATTACTAACAATGTGTCTGTTCAGAGGATCTGCATTAGACTGAAATACTGTGGAAGGGCTACCGTGTGTCAGATGGCACACAGTAACCACCTCCAAATCAGTGGCTGACTTGTACTTCCCTGTGAGGCACTGTGCCCACAGCTGAGGAAATTTTTCAGGGTTAATGTTCAACCTTGCACTTGGGTAGTCCATTAGGCTATTGCTGCGCACTGCGAGATTTGGTGCAGTGCAATGGCATTCTGGGCACAGGACCAAACTTGGAAAATTCCACCGTTCTCCTCCTTCCAATTCCATGCCTTTTCAGGCCACCTAACCCCATTTTTTAAATTGTTATCTGGATGGCTGAAACAGTACACTACAGATCATTGTGAATACTCAGTGGCTTGTGTAAACGCATTTGACATGTCTCCGCTGCAGAGCTGCAGTTTAGCAAGCCAACCATTAGTCTTATCGAGCTGCCCCTGCTGCCGTTTCAGCAGAAGCCATGATAGCGGTAGCTGTGCCTCCTGCAGATGCTTCAGGAAGACAGTAAGGAAGGGGCACGGACTAGGACAAGGATAAGAGATAAATCAATTGCTTTAAGGGGAACTTTACTTGGATCAGCCTCATCACTGAAATACTGGTGTTTGCGTTTGTTAAATCTTTGTCGACCAGTAGGAAAAAGATGCACCCCAGTGTCAAGTGATACAGGCTGTACAAGTGTACAGCTCGATAACTCCTCCTGTCTTCCACCAAAAAGCCCAGGTCATTGCCATCTGGAAGCTCGTTGCTGTCTACTGATAGCATTCAACATCCAACCCATTCAGTGTGGACAGACTGCTTATTTGAGCTACACTGACTGGGGCATGGGCCCCGACTGAAAAGGTGATTGCATGCATGAGGCATGCTACAATGCTCTCAGAGAATGACAGTTATATGCTGACCCCCAGTATGTGCAAGCACTAATGGACTGAACCTGATTGCACTCCAGGATTTAAAGTGGGAGGTGATACTCAGTCACCGCAATTCCAGAGCGGCAGGGAATGCATAGGCTCTGGCTCAGCTGATCCAGCCACGTGGAAAGCAGTGTGGGAGCACAACATGAAAATCATACGCAGAAGAAATGCATCCACACAAACGTTAGGGGTTGGAGCTCACTGTGCAGTAGAGGTGCTTCTTAAGGACACACAGTGTTTTACCAGTTATCACAGACAAAGCAATGCATTGTGTGGATGCAGGTCTTTTAGCTATGCACTCACTTTGCCTTGAATGAAGACAGAATTGAAACCAACTTGTCAAGCCAAATTGAAAAGAAATCACTTTTAGGATGGATAGTTAACAACAAACAAACAAGCAAACCATTACATATAAACAACTCCATTAATACGTGTAGACCATAAATGAGCCCATCACTCTGTGTGTTCATTTTGGTTTTGTTCTGGATTTACCTGTTTCCACCCATATTCCCTTGTGCCCACCCATTCATCTCTGTAGAGGACTGATAGGCAGGATTAGCCTGAGACTGCTGAATCATGGGGCTTTGAGTATGAGCCAGTCTTGGGGACATCAGTGGACTCTGAGGAGTGGTGGCCCCTGTGAAGCCTGGATCGGGCTGCTGACTAATACCTGGAGAAGAAAATGAGAAATTTAGCCACTGTACATTCGCAGTTTAAAACAAGACAAGAGCTCATACCCACAAACATGTCTTTACACAGTCCTACTTATGTCATGTGGAGCCTATAACCTTGTGTCTTTATGTAGGAGCTACATGAAAAGACATCATCAACTAACACTTATGTACAACCTTCCTGTGTGTCCTAATCAAACAGTCTCTCTACAGAAAACAAAACATTTTGCTTCTGTCTACAAATCCATTTCAAATCCATGAACCGTTTAATGCACGGCACCATCTTTTAACATTTAGGCTATAATTTTCAACTTTTTCTAAAGTTTCTAGAACTTTAGTATCTCTGTTTCTGTGTCCCTGAAAAAACAGGCAATGACAGTTTGTTCAAGCATTTAATGACTTTGTAAAATAAAAAAAAAAACCTACATAGAAAGAAAACCCAATTTAAGCTTGTTATATGCCAATTGTGTGCAAAATTTTTGTTTTAAACCAGGTTATTTTGGTCTTAAGTTCATCACAAACAGCATTCTAAACAGAAACACGCCACCCTGAACACTGACATAAGAATCAGGTGGTATGAAATATATTCCTCTATTCACCATCCACATGACTTAAGTTCTTACTGATATAAAGGATAATAGATCAACAAGAGCAGATAGCAAATTTAGAATTGAATGGACATAATTTGTTGTATCATCAGAACTTGTGCATTACATATTATTTAATATAATTGTAATATAACTTGTACAATACTTCTAAATAAAGAAACTGTAAAACAACAACTGTACAGAGGTAACTGCCCCATGCATCCCCAGAACAAAGCAGTATAGAGCTTTGTAAAACATACAAATAAAATGGTATTAGTTATCATATTACCCAACAAGTTTAAGGACCAGGAAGGGAATACCTAACCTGAAACTATTTTTTATTATTTAAACTTAATAGTTAGTTGCTAATTTTACATTATATGCACACACAAAGAATTATCTTTTTGGGGCAAGAATCCACCTGATACTTAAGCAATATCTCTTTACCAAAATGCAAAAATCCCCAACAATATAAAAACGATTTAAAAGGAATATGTACAGCTTTGATTCCAATGAAGCTTCTGGTCACCTTATGCTGTTGGCCAACATCAATTTGTATCTTTTCCTTCATCTGCACTTTTTACTGTATATATTGGTTTGTTGAGTGTAGTCAAAATTCAGAGTTCATCAAGCCAATACAGACACATTTACGTGCTCCTCTGTGCATACACATTTGTATGTGTTTATATGTATAGATATATGGAAACACTCACATCACACTTCTGCTACTGCTCAAAAAAAGAGCAGTGCTCAGAGAATACATGGTACTAGAGCTAGGAAAGTGGAAGGTACTGTGTCGCATTTGTGGACACCCAAGGGGCCTGAAGCTCCATGTTCCCCATTTCTCCCAGGGAGCCAGGCCAAGGGTTGTGGGAGGGGAGCTGGACCCAGCACTGGGAGAAACATGGGGGAGTAAAGATTGCTGAAATGCAGAGGGGTGTGGAACCAGTACCGTAGTTCGGAGGAAATGGAAACTGCTGTGCATTTGCCTGCGGGATCCGTGGATTGCTCATGGTTGCTGGTATGCCACCGGCAGCCACCATGCTGGGGGTCATGCTCAAGCCCTGCCCTCGCATCATCAGCGTCCGCTGCTGCACCTGCTGCTGCTGCTGCTGCATCTGCCGCTGCCGCAGGTGCTGGCTCAGGATCTCCCGCTGCCTCTGCGCCAGCATCTGCGCGTTGATAGGGCCCTGCAGGGAAAACCACCGCCACCTATCAATAACCCCTTCTAAGGCAACCTGACCAGTGGAGGCATCTCCACTGGCAACGTTTTTTCCCCCCATCACACAACTAACAGTTATATAAAATGGGAGAAAATAATCCTATTAATAATTCTGCTGGGAAAGACTTCCAACAGTGCAAGAGTCAGTAACAGAAATAATACCAGTGTTTAATGTTGCAGCGATTTGTAATTGCAAATAGAGTAGTTCATTCAAAAAAATGCATCTTTAGGAAATGAGAAGCTTGGTTAAAAATGCAGTTAGTAAACAACCATCCAACCCATGTAAATATAGGAAAGACTCTCAGAAATAAAACAAGTAAAAACTTCTTATCATACAGACTGCACTATTTGTATTCAAGCTTTAGAATCTATTGTACATATTTATCACATAGCATTACTCCTGTATTTAATTTATCAACGTCTATAAATACCTAAAGCACGGGGGCCAAATGGATGGGGCTGGGCTTTTTTCAGTAGTACCCAGTGACAGGACAAGGGGCAATGGGCAAAAACTGGAACACGGGAAGTTCCACACAAACTTAAGGAAGAACTTCTTTACAGTGAGGGTGACAGAGCCCTGGAACAGGCTGCCCAGAGAGGATGTGGAATCTCCATCTCTGGAGATGCTCAAAACCCGCCTGGACACTTTCCTGTGCAACCTGTTGTAGGGAACCTGCTTTGGCAGGGGGGTTGGACTAGATGATCTCCTGAGGTCCCTTCCAACCCCCACCGTTCTGTGACTAGGAGGAGAAAGAAGAAAATAAAGTGATTCTTTTTTTTTTTAAGTCCTAGTTCTCTCACCTGTGTTGGTACTCCAGGTCTCAAAGACAGATTCATATTGGAGACACTGCTGATCTGATTTATCAGTGGCTGCCGATTCTAAAGAAAAAAGAAAACCAACACCAAACCCCAAAAGTTTTGAGAAGGAAAACAAGAAAAGGGAAATTTTCTATACAGAGGTATATACAGCTACTTGCCAATCAGTTGGTTCGAGGACCTGGTTTTACATATTCAAGCAAGGACTAGTTTTCCTGCTCAAGTCCTATTATCATTCACAGAATCCTGTTTCTTAAGGAGATAATACTCCAGACAAATCACAACAGAGGCACTAAGCCGTTTATCGAATATGCTGCCTTTACAGTTCCTACCCTTTTTGAGTTTGGGACTGGAGTGTTGAGGATTACTCTGAATTAGACCTTATCCTGATGTTTGAAGGCAGAAATGATCTTTCCTCCTCCACTAGAAAAGCATTAATACCTTATAGTGCTACAAACTTACATATTTAAAAATGAAACAAGAAACAACAACTTAAAATGATCCTTAAAAGCAGACCAAGGCCACAAAAAGGAAAAGATGTAGGTAACTGGCAGCAGTAAAAAAAAAGCACATAGATTACTGAAAGAGTCAAGATACAACAAACAGAAAATGACCTGTATAACAAAAAACAGCACTGTAGCCTTGCTCAAAGAATTAGTGAGACCTAGGTCTAAATACTAGGCACATTTTTGTACAGGATTATAGAAATATAATAACAGCAATAGATATATAGAAATAGAATAATGGAAACATGCAAAAATATTTAAAAAAAACCCCAAACACACAAGGTACTGTCTCAGCAAAACTCCTTATGGCTAGTGGCTTTAGTTTAAAAGCAGAACTGGACTACAATAAAACAGAGTACACATTAAAGTCCTGGTCTGTCCAGGGCAAGCTGACAGTCAGTAGGTGCTGCCTAGGAAGAGGCGCCTGCGCCAGCGTGGAAGGGGGCACGGAAGGGGACGCACCTGCTGTGCCTGGAGCCGGTGCTGCAGCTGGAGCCGCAGCTGGTTTGGCTGGTTCTGCACAATGCCAGCGGGCCGGAGGCCGGGTCGGGGCTGCATGCGCAGGGCTGCGTACCCGGGGCGCTGCCCCATGGGGTGGAAGCTCGGGTCCTGCATGGGCGCGTAGCTGCCCTGCGCCATCTGAGCCTGCGCTGCGTACTGCTGGGAGAACACCGGAGCCTTCTGCTCCATCAGGATGCTCGACTCCTGGCTGGAGAAGGTCTCTGGGTCGACAGCTTGGCTCTGCAGAAATACGTGAACAACAGAAACAGTTGGTGGGACACGGGCTTTTCACAGGATTATACGAGACTAATACAGTCACCCTGCAAAACCAACCTTCTAGGATGTGAATGTTTCTAAATAGAAAATTACATAAATTGTCTTTACCTAAATATAAAAACATAAAAATAAATAGGATTATATTTTTGAGTGTCAAAACATATTCACTAAAATACCTCCTCTATTTTCTTTTTTTTTTTTTTAACAAAGACCCACAATCTTTGTCATGTTCTTAACATAGCTATTGCATCATTCTGTTAATGAATAAAAATCTGAAATGACAAATGCCATATGAAAATCTGCAAATGAAGTGATGCCAGCATATTTTTGCCACTGAATCCAAGATAAATTCAAAGATGTTACAAATGAATAAGGATAAGAAAGTAGATTTTTTTTATCAGTATCTTTAAACAAAATAACTTCAGATAAAGATGCTGAAACTATTACAGAAGCTAATGTGAACAGAGTGCCTAATCCTTTCAGGACACTTTCACACAAACCGATTATCCATTAGCACAAGAAAGCTAACACAATTCTAAACTCCATTCTGGATACTCCTCTAATATTTGCTCTAGCCAGAATAATTTTATAGCTTATTCCACACCGACCTTGGAAATCAAGTTAATGTAAATTTCAGTGCCCTCATGAAGAAGACTTTAAGCTTCTATAAAATGTTTGATGGATATTTTAAAAACATGTTCTAAAATGCAACAGTTCTCTTATCTGCAAAATTCTTTAACTGTTTCCACTGAGATATTAATTAAACAGAAAGATATTTACCACTTAGTTTGAAATAAAACAGTACTAATTTTTTTGGTGGCGATATTCCAAAAGCTATGTCACACTGCATGAAAGCTTCACAGTGCAAAACTAAAGTTCACCAATAAATTATATCTTCAGCTTAACACCTCACTGAGCTCTGTGTTGTACCAAATAGCCTTGCAGATAGTTTTCTCATGTCCAAAGCAGGATTTCATTTGTACTATTTCATATCTAAAGTGCAGAGCTAGTTCAGAAGTTATGGTCAGGATGCTGATGAGCACTGGGAAATTAAATAGGTATTCTTGGCTTGTCTGAGAATATTAAATCATTATAGAGACATGTACAGCTGTTTTTGGAAACAGAATTTTGATGCCAGAAATATCAAGCACTAGCTTCCCCCCTTAAATTATTATTTTTTTTTTAACATACTTTTTTGCATCATGTAAGACTGAAATGGACAAGGACCAACTGGAAACTAATAAAAAAGTAACTGTGTGGGGAAAAAAATGGATGAAAAAGAATAGAACAAATTAATGCTGCAAAGTTTAGTAAGCATGTTTGCAATGTAAAAAATAAATAAAGAAATACAGTTTTAAGTGTTTGGAATGAAATCAGCTGCTTCAGATGAAACTCATCCCTTAACCAATTAATCAACTAAGGGGAAAAAAACTATGGCTGAAATTACATGTTACAGGTTTGCTCATCCAAAAGCTTGTTGCTCCCATCACACAAAGGTCTTGACCTTGCTCCTCTGGTCCTAGGTATTGTTATTATTTTTTTCTTCTTTCCTATACGCTGTTTCTGGCTGTGATCTTACCTTTCTCCTATACAGCTGTTCCTCTGATAAGCAGAAGTCCATTATTTTTTTGTTTAGGTCAGGTTAGTTGCATAAAGTGAAGTGGCTCAGCACAGGTCAGAAGAAGGAGAGACAGGTGAGGGTGGCAGGGAAGAGGGAGGAAGACTAAACCTGACACTGAGCTGTTAAGATGGACTACCACCAAAATACGTAACTCCATCCTAGCTTGGAAGAAGCATTTTATAATCCCCTTCTTCAACACGCATTTTACCTCCACCATGACAACATATCCTTTAAATGCAATGCAATGTCCAATGTACCTGGCTGACTAGTTCTGGTATTCCTAGAGCCCTGTCGATTTCTTCTAAACCATCAAAATTCCTTAATGCCATGTAAAGCTGATCCAGGAGAGCACCCTCATCACTTGGTGACTCTGATGAAGGATGATTACACAAGAGATCATCTGGTGAGCTGCCAAACGGTTGCCTGTGAAAACATGAGCACAGCGTTGGTAAACAGATACTGAAAAACAAGAAATAGAATCAGAGGATTAGTACTCAAATTGAACTACCAAGTGGAGACAGAAATTACTTTAATCACTGCTAATTTTGTTTAGAAAACTATTGTGGATGAATGTTATGCTACCCAAAGAAATAACTAAATAGCATCAATGCTGGGCAAGACCCTATAAGCACAGTGTATCCGACAAGTAAGCAAGCACAGCAAAGGTATGCCCGAGTGCTGATTTCATATTACAGGGTTAGCAGGGGAACAGAGAAGTCAGTATAGAATATAGTCACTGAACACAGAAGGTTCAATCATTTTCTTAAATTAATTGTAACTTTGGATTTTAGATATTAGATTAAGTATACTATCACAAGTAGAACTCATTTCCATAGAGACTCTCCTTAACTGGTTTTCTCTTAGACTAAGGAAGCTGAAGAGGTCACAAAGGGGTCCAAGGATTGTCTGAGCTCATACAAACCGAACATCTTGAAGAGCTGGATAGAAGCATGAGGGAACAGGGAGAAAAGGACGTTCCCCTTTTTGTTTGCAGAAAAACACTGCATCAGCTCAACCCATCTTATGGAACTGCACACTTGGGTACCAGTTTATGCACTTGGTTATGTGCCTCAGAAGGGTGCCAGCAAGAATTTGGATACTGTCAGGCAGAGTTTGCTGGCTCTATAAATCCTGCTTACCTCACCCCTGAATTTGTATGCAAAGCACACTCACAGTTACAAAGGCAGAATAAAGGTTTATTCCAAACCCAAAGGACAAAACTTACTGAGAAACAAACTAAATCTGAAATAACACCTTATCTGCAGCCAAATGACCTATTTTTGTTTTGCACTTCACACACGAGCCCTACGAGTATTCATGCACAATACTACAAGACTACAATAGAAAATATAAAGAGGAAAGCATTTTGCAAGCAAGGGCAGCTACTATGTGCACATCATGGCAGAATCTCATCCCAGATAATTACTCAGAGACAACAGAAGTTGTCACACATGGAGGGAGGAAACAGTACTACATGTGAACCTTATTTACATGTCTGTTCGGAAAAACAAAGAAACATGTTGGTGTATTTGGTTTCCATAATGAGATATATGGTTGCCATGGAACTCTAATCTGTATGTCAAACCTAAGCAGAAGGAAAACACTGCATCGTCAGGCTATACACCTAAAAACCCAAAGGACAGCACACAGAAAAACTAACAAAAACATATTATTTTTAATTAAATCCCAAACTGTAAAAAATAAAAATAAGATTATATATGAAATAAATTTAAAACATCACAAAAATTCAATCAATCTCATATATAGAGAAGTTTCTATAACTCTCACAGATGGAATAATAAATTAGTAAAAGGGAAGAGAAAAAAAAAAAAAATCCTCCAAATCAAACTGCTTGCAAACTTTAAAGATGACTTATAAGAAGGAATCTATGATTTGGAAAAATAATCAATGAGGCTAGCCAAAAAACCTCCCTCAAATTGTAAATGGGGAAGAATACATATGGAAAGAAAATGTTTAAAACATTTGTCAAATTCTCAGTGTTAAACAATGACAAATACTTTGGTTTTTTTCCCCTCATTTCTTTTATATACCACAGTTATGATGTTTAATTTTTCTCTAAAAGAATTATTTTTACTCTAAATTCAATTTTTTTCAAATTTAATACTCACAATGATAATCAGATTATAAAAATACAAATACCAGGGATTAATAAAATAAGAAATAGCAGCATCAAACAATTCCTTATCTCTGTTTGGGTGCAAATGATCAAAATATGATTACTTTCAGATGCAATGCAATGGGATTTTTTTCACCATCTTCAGCTAGAAGGAAATTATGAGAAAAGCAAAAGTAACAAATTGGAAGAATTATCTGCCTGGCTTGTTGACCAAACATGGCCCTGTATTTTATTTTACAGTGTCATTTTTTTAAGTGCATAATTAAGCTATGCAAACAGTGCTTTTGGCATGTGAACACCCTAGCTGGGGGAGAATTAGCATCAGGAAACGTCTTGAAAAGCATGAAAAAGTTAGAAAAGTAACATAGAAAATGCCACACTTAAATTTACAGATAATATTTCCAGACATCCTTTCATAATGAAAATTAAGAGAATGTAGTTAGATGATAAACCTTTCTTCAAACACACTTTTTTCCAACTGCTTCCTCTTCATTTTCTTTTCAATGCTCCCCACATTTACGACTGAAAAATATCCCACTTAGGCAATTCAAAATATTTCAGCATTTCTCCTTTATATGTCTATTTTGTATCACTTATACAGTCCATACATACATATACATATATATGTGTGTGTGTGTATATATATATATATATATATATATTCTCTAATCTAAGCTGCAAATTTTTTGAAGAAGACACAGCTCTTTTTTTTTTTTTTTTGGAAGTGTAAACTGCTTTTCATAGTTGTGGCATTATTTAAACATCTTAATAATGAACAAAGTTAATATATTACATATGAGTTAATAACTTGATCAAACTGTGTTTCCAGATACCTGAGAAGGAGCTAACTTCAGGGAACAGGCAGCCTCTCCTTCACCTTATCTTTCTTCACTCACCTTTTAGCAAATTTAGGTCAATTAAACCCCAAACAAAACAGAAGTTAACCATGTCCTGCACTAATAACACTACCTTGCTGCAGGAAAATACAACTATGTTGTAAGTACAAAGGCCCTGGAATTTTTCCATGTTGAGTGTCAAGTATAAATGTTAACACTAAGAACAGTAAAACCAGACAGAATCATGCCCACATTAACGCTTGAGAGGCAAAAATGGTGCAACTACCTGAAGCACTGGCAGCATTCACAGGAATACAGAACTTCAAATTTTCCAACATATTAAATGGCAAAGACAGCACTTATAAGTATTACTGGAACACATATACAATTTATTAGCATAAAATACTACAAGCATTAAATTGATGTACATTTGGTGAATATTTTGTGTAGAACTTTGTTTCCATGAGGTGTATAAAATATAGGCCAGTCAAATTTCCCATGTTTTGATGTGACACTAAGACTCACCTGTTCTGATTACCAAAAGTTGCCTGATCTATTGGCAAGATGCTGTCTGGCCACGGTGCAGTCTGATTTGGAGGTGCCTGTTGTTGGCTGTACTGAGGTCCTCCTATGTTCATCTCCAATTCGGATGGCCCTAATGAAGGAAAAATAACCATGTAACTTCTGCAAAAAGAATCTACTTTCATGCTAATTCTTTCCATTGAATTATCTATATTACAGTAAAAGCAAACAAAAACATTAAGATTTCAGAAACATTACACTTAAAAGCATCAACATATTTTTGTTAAAAATCACTTTTAAAATTTGAGAAAATAACACCAGAACTCTGAAAGTGGATCAAAACCATAAAATAGCAGATATGGCATCACAGATGCCAAAATTAGTAAGATAAGCATAAGAAAAGGACAGTATATAGAGTCAATATCATAATGTACTTGCTTTAAAAGTGACGAAGAACAATGATAATGTTCCTAGCATTTCCTCTTAAAGAGCTTCACAGTTTTTAATGAACAAGAGCAACTTTATAGCCTCGTTCTTTGGCCACACTACTGTGGAGCTACACAGTAGGAGGAATTGTTCATATCAATACATGCATTCAAAGTAAGCGTTCTGCACACCTTGCTTCCTACTTCCACAGGGAACTTTCACTGTGGAATGTGGTTCTCATCAAATCTATAATTGGAGTCTTTTTTTTTTTTTTCTTTTCCTGATTCATCTTTGTCAGTCTATCATATGCCAAAAGGCACAACTCCACACACACCCTGACTTACCCATATTCATGACCTGAGATGGAAGCATCTGCCTCGGGCCAGGCTGGTTGCTGGGTCGCAAGGGGATGCTGGCCGTGGGGTTGCGGATCATGCCTGCTTGCACTGGCCTGTTCATGGCACTAGCTGTGGGCGCACAGGTCACCCTCACAGCAGAAGCCTGGCTTCCCCAATCTCCAGATGTCATGGCAGGCCGAGGGGCATTGCCACCGATCATTCCTGCACAAAAGCCAAACAGACTTAGGAGCCATCACATGATTCAGAACAGCTTTAGCATTGCAACTGCCTGATGAGCCACATTTTTAGCCAGGAAAATGCAGTAGTTTCACTCCAAGTACATTGTACCACAACTGCCCACCCAGATGTGCAAAGCTACAGAATGATGCCTTATGCTGCTTAGTCAAGGGAATGGAGATTATTATGCATTTTACATGAGGAAGATCCTTTTATCATTTCCGAAACGCTGTTGAGAGTAAGTGTTCCCACATGTAGTCTGCAACAGGTGCCGAGGGTGTGTGGATAGCCCTAACTTCCTTCCTCAGGAAATGAATCACGTTTGCTGATTTGTGTGTCAGTGCTTTACTTTCCAAGTGCTAACTGAGAATGAAGACTTCAGTAACAACATGTTATCGCTACACACGCTTACAAATTAGAAGGACTGAATTTAAATTCACATTCTGCGAACATCTTTTGGTGAGTTCTTTCATTCGGAACCTAGAGCCTTCTTAGCTTCAAGGCTCACCCAGACAATCTTGAACCAACATACAGTGCAAGGAAATTACTCACAGGAACTTTCCGATAGATGTTGAATTTCATTACCGTTATTTTAGGGGAAGTCCTCCTACACCTACTGTAAACAACTGATACAGTTTATTTACACTGGGAATATATAGAATACTACACCCTGATAGTAGCCAAAAAAACCCAACCAAACCTCAACACAAAATCCCCCAAAACCCAAAGATGTGCATTCATAGTATTTACACATTTCAATTTTATACAGTCAAGATTTCAGATTGGACTACTGGTCTCTCCAGCTGCATTTTGCAACATCCTTAAATGAATACTAAAAGCCACACAAATAATTATTACTTGTTCGTTCAATTACTTGGCGACGTATAACCAAGGAGAAAAACACTCTGAAACGGGTCATTGTTTCAGCTGCTGTACAAAATCTGCTGCAGTGTTACATCCTCAGGTTTGTTCTATTTGTGTACATATTCTATCAGCTGAAATATGTGGTGTGCTAGAGCAAATGTCAGGAACAGAGATAATACTCTCTAACTTGTATACATAAGATGAATAACATCCTCTAATATGTATACAGAACATGAAAGTAATAGGACACTTGAAAGACTACAAGCTGACCTCTAAACTGCTTAAATAGGATATTTCAGTGTCTAGCAGCATGTCTTTTTTAATACTGATGCAAACTAAATATAAAATTTGGACAGTGAATACAGCCAGCTAAAAGCACTCACAATACCCATTTATTTACTCTGACTTCTTAGAGGTTGTTGCACACGTGGACAGTCTCAGACTATGTACTACTTGAAATAAGTCAATCAGCCAGACTTCTCTTGAGAAACCCCCTATAGTATCTTCGTACAATATTAGGACAACATGAAGAAATCAATGCACCACAGATCAGGCAAAATCCATTACAAGAGGTAACACCACTGCAAGATCTGATGGTTCCCAGAAAGTTTGTTTCAGAAAATGATGAAAACCTTAGCATTTCTTTAATTTGAGAACTAAGGCTAATAAATAAGGGATAACTGAGAGCAAAACCAAGGTCTGTAGAGATACATATCACAAGGGCAACCATATTACCCCCAATTTTGTTTTGGAAGAAGTATCTCTACAGAAAAGCAGTTCATTTATTTGCTTTTTTGAGGCAAAAAGACTGGGATTTTACTTATCTAAGGCTCAGCTGAATCTGGAACATTGATGTGAAAAGACTCCCTGCCAGTACACTGTGCACATCTATAAGTTTTTAGGTAGGTGAAAAGCAGTGCATAAAGAGCAGGACCAAAAATATGAAGAAAGAGAAATTCAAAATAAATATGTCAATATATAACAGTCCATGAAACACAATTTTTTTCCAGACTTTTTAGAAAATATTTATAATAACCTGTACTTATAATAAACCCAACATTAAGTTACACATGCTATAGTCTGTTACTCAAGTATATTTAAGAAAATGGAAAATCATCTTACCTGTGCTACTGTTGCCTAAAGTTCCTTGACTTCCTATCATCCCTTCATTCCTGCCCATCAGTCCCGGCTGAGGTATCACTGAATAGGGGCTACTTGTTCTTATGGGTGGGAAAGTTCCTGCACCTGTTGGGTTTTGCAGTGTGATGTCAAGTGGTAAATTCTGGTTTGGTAATAACCTGCCCAGTTGCCCTGCTCGTGGGTTATTAAAAGCTAGACAGGAGGAGTAAAGAAAAAAGCAAAGTTACAAGAATGGAAACTTGTTAAAAAAAAAAAAAAACCAACCAAAAGAACCCAAACACACTTTAAGGTCTTGGGCTGAGCTATTTAATGCTGCATAACCTATCCACTCCATATCTGTCTGAGAAACATCCCTTCTTGACATTTTTTATGTAAATTTCAATATGGAACATTCTGACACTAAAACAGATACGACTTATATTTTTAAAACTTTAAATGATACAACTTAACCTACAGAAGAGCCACTACAGCAAAATATACCACTATGTGATGTGCATACTACTGCCAATTAATCTTATACCTAGTAGGGTTGTAATTGCATGCAGATGTCATCCTGAGGCAGATCTCAGTTTTGAAAGTTTTCCAGCATAAGCTGTACCCCTGAAGGAGTTACCAAAATTAAGGACGGATTGAGTCTGTATCGGATTCTGTAGCCCCATTTCTACATCTCTCTCCTATTTTTTTTTTTTTTTTTACCTTTTTTGTCATTAATAAAAATAAATACTTCCATGATTCAGCAACAACCAATACGCGGTCCAGAATTTAGAGCTGTGACACCACAATATCCTGGTAAACAGAACCATGCCTGATGGTGACTGTCACCTTTATATAACTGTCTTTTTCTGTTGAGGTGTTTTGTGCTCTGAAAATCATCCTCCTCAAAGAAAACTGTAGACTTCTCAGAAAAGCCAGCTTCAGATCATGACTGTCAAGCATCTGGCTCAGCTGGTGTCTGGGCAATGTTCCAGTGCATGAAAGCATCCCCTATGTGCACAACTAGTTCTCAAACAGGAATCAAACACTGACCTTGTGCCTGTGATTCCATTTCCAATCATACCAATGAAATACATACAAATAAACTGACAATTTTTGTGAAACTTATTTGCAACACTTCCTGATAGCTTCCCTAGGAGACTTTCTGATACAACAGCATCCTTAAAGTGACTTCTGAATTTTTATATTCACCACATTACAAATAAATCAAATAACTTATTTCACAGAATCATAGAATGTTAGGGATTAGAAGGGACCTCGAAAGATCATCTAGTCCAATCCCCCTGCCGGAGCAGGATCACCTACAGTAGGTCACACAGGAACGCGTCCAGGCAGGTTTTGAATGTCTCCAGAAAAGGAGACTCCACAACCTCCCTAGGCAGCCTGTTCCAGTGCTCTGTCACCCTCTTTTGCCTTATGTTTACATGGAACATCCTATGCTCCAGCTTGCACCCATTGCTCCTTGTCCTACTGTTGGACACCACTGAGAAGAGCCTGGCTCCATCCTCATGACATTCGCTCATTACATGTTTATAAACATTAATGAGGTCTCCCCTCAGGCTCCTCTTCTCCAAGCTAAAGAGACCCAGCTCCCTCAGCCTTTCCTCATAAGGGAGATGCTCCACTCCCTTAATCATCTTTGTGGCTCTGCGCTGAACTGTTTCAAGCAGTTCCTTGTCCTTCTGGGAACTGGACACAATATTCCAGATGTGGCCT